GGACTCTGAAAAACAAACTGAGGGTTCTAGAGGGGAGGGGGGTGGGAGGATGGGTTAGCCTGGTGATGGGTATTAAAGAGGGCATGTTCTGCATGGAGCACTGGGTGTTATGCACAAACAATGAATCATGAAACACTACATCAAAAACTAATGATGTATGGTGATTAACATAAAAATTAAAAATTAAAAAAGAAAGATACCAATAAAAATGAAGTAATTCTAGACTGACACTGGTACCAGAGGCTTGGAGCTCGCCTTACAAAGACTATGAGAGCAGCAACTGTGAAGAAAGCTGTTAAGACATTTTTCCCAGATAGAATCAGAAAGATTGAAAGACTTGAAAAGAGAATCATTTTATCACTCTTTTTAAAAACTGTAATAATAAATTCTGTATCTTTTTTATTATTTGTGAACATTTTCTGTGGAATTAAAAATAAAGCAACACCAACATTTATTCCACTAAAAGATCAATAGCATTTTCCGATTTTATTATTTATTTTATTTTTAAAAAGATTTTATTTTTATGTAATCTCTTCACCCACTGTGGGGCTCAAACTCATAACCCTGAGATCAAGAGTTGCACGCTCTACTGACAGAGCCAGCCAGGTGCCCTGCATTTTCTGATTTTAAAAATTTACATTGATACAACTGTACACAGCGTTTTGGTTAGGAAATTATATTGGGGTTTAGTTACTGAAAGACTAGAATATTCTTTTTTTTTTTTTTTAAGATTTTATTTATTTATTTGACAGAGAGAGACACAGCAAGAAAGGAAATACAAGCAGGGAGAGTGGGAGAGGGAGAAGCAGGCTTCCCGCGGAGCAAGGAGCCCGATGCGGGGCTTGATCCCAGGACTCTGGGATCACGACCTGAGCCGAAGGCAGACGCTTAATGACTGAGCCACCCAGGCGCCCTAGAATATTCTTTTTGTATGGAAAGAACGTGAGTTTGTTTATTAAGGAAACATTAAAAATTGGTTTCTTTCGAATAAATCAGAAGATTTGAAAAGCAATTTTGGAGGATAAATATCAATTAGAAGATGCTGCTGGATGATCTTTTACCTTCATGAGAAAAGGTAAATTAATCCTGTTATTATACAGTAAACACAAACTATTATCTAACACCAGTTAAGTGTGTGTGGTACAAATCTTGGTTAGGAACTTGGGCTCCCCAGGCATGCTGACTTGGGTTCAAATCCTGCTCCTGTTTCTGTGACTGTGATTTTATAGAAATTACTTAAACTGAGGGCACCTGGGTGCCTCAGTTGTTAAGTGTCTGTCTTCAGCTCAGGTCATGATCCCACCATCCTGGGATGGAGCCCTAAGTTGGGCTCCCTGCTCAGCGGGAGCCTGCTTCTCCCTCTCACTCTGCCTCTCCCCCTGCTCTTGCTCTCTCGGGCACATGCTCTCTCTCAAGTAAATTAATAAAATCTTTAAAAAAAAAAAGAAATTAATCTCCATCCTGTGGTTTTCCTCTGTTTATAATGGGAGTACAGAAATCCTCCCTTATCTGGCAGTTTCACTTTCTGTGATTTCAGTTACCTACGGTCAACCATATTCTGGAGGCAGATGATCTTCCCTCTCACACATCTTCAGAAGGTCAGTAGTAGCCTAATGTTATGTCACAATGCCTACATCATTCATTTCACTTTATCTCATCATGTAGACATTTTATCATTTCACATTACCACAAGAGTAAGTACAGTAAGATATTTTGAGAAACAGAGATACCACATTCACATAACTTTCCTACAGTATATTATTATAATTGTTCTGTTTTATTAATAGTTATTATTGTCAATCTCTTACTGTGCTTAATTTCTTTCTTTCTTATTTATTTATTTACTTGACAGAGAAAGAGACACAGCAAGAGAGGGAACACAAGCAGGGGGAGCGGGAGAGGGAGAAGCAGGCTCCCCGCCGAGCAGGGAGCCTGATGCAGGGCTCGATCCCTGGACCTGGGGATCATTACCTGAGCCGAAGGTAGATGCCCAACAACTGAGCCACCCAGGCGCCCCGTGCTTAATTTCTAAATAAAACTTTATCACAGATATGTATGTATAGGAAAAAATATAATATATATAGGGTTTGATACCATCTGTGGTTTTAGGCAGTCACAGCAGGGATCTTAGAATATATTCCTCATGAATAAGGGGGACTACTGTACTGGAAACATGTATCTCATAGAATGTATTATCCTTGTTGTTTTCCATACAAAGCACTTGGTGCAGTGCCTGGCTTAGTTAGTACACGTTTGTTGTCAACGGCGAATGTTATATGTCAAATTCTTTTTTGGGTCCTGTGCTTCTGAGAAAACTAATTATTTTCTAGATTGTACCTGTGTATATATATATTTTAAAGATTTTAAGTAATCTCTATACCCAACGTGGGGCTTGAACTCACAACCCCAAGATCAACAGTTGTATGCTCCATGGTCTAAGTCAGCCAGGTGCCCTAAGATATTTCTTATTCTAGAACTTGGTAAGTGTTAAAATTTTTCTTGACCTGACTTTGAAACACTCAATTCACCTAACATATTACACAAGTTCTACACTGTAGGAAACCATGACATTAACTATTCTTAATTGTTGGGTGGGGAACTAAGCCTTACCTTTGGGGAGGAAGTAAAATTTCACTCAAGGCATGAGTTCTATCATGACACCAATAATCTGAGGCAGGGACAGAGTCCAGAAAACTCTGAGGGGACAGCAAGCTCATGTTTTTTATCTTCCACTCTGAACCAAAATGAGGTCAAGATGCCCGGGAGGGAGGTTCTTGGTAGAAAACTTTTTTTTTTTAAAGATTTATTTATTTATTTGAGGGGGGGGCAGAGAGAGAGAATCTTCGAGCAGACTCCCAGCTGAGCAGGGAGCGACAATGTGGGGCTTGATCCCATTACCCATGAGATCATCACCTGAGCTGAAACCATGAGTCTGATGTTTAACCAACTGAGCCACCCAGGTGCCCCTTTTGGTAGGAAAGTTTTTAAGGTGACTTTCCCTACTTTACAAGATCTAAAGCTTATCTGTGCCAGCCCTTTTGGGCAGAAAGGCTGCTGTCTGGCTGTATTTCTGCCCCTTAGAGTCACTGTTTATTTCCCCATTTTTCTCCTATGGTGCTTGGTAAATTTTTGTGAAAGACCTTGCTGGCTTCAGCTGGGTTCAGAGAAACCAAGGGAAGTGGGTCTGTGAACACATCTGAGCCAGAGCTTTTATTTTAACCAACTTAGCCACCCAGGCGCCCTCAGAGCTTTTATTTTAAAGGGAGGATGAGAAGATCCTCAGAATGCAAAGCCCGTTAAGAGTCACACTCCAGTCATCCTCCCCTGACCTGGAGATGTTGGATATTTTCTTTTTTTTAATTAAAGAAGATGAGGTTCTTTTTCAAAGATATTCAGAATCTGACTCTCAAAGGCTAAACAGGGCAGGGACCATGTATGACTTTGTATACCAGTATCTAGTACAATACCTGACCCATAGCAGGGCCTTGGTGAGTATCTGCTGAATGAATGAAATGCACCTCTCTAGCCTGAGAGAGTATATCCAGAGTCCACAAATATGTATCTGGAATGCTTTTTTTTTTTTTTTAAAGATTTTATTTATTTGACAGAGAGAGACACAGCGAGAGAGGGAACACAAGCAGGGGGAGTGGGAGAGGGAGAAGCAGGCCTCCCGCGGAGCAGGGAGCCCAATGCGGGGCTCGACCCCAGGATCCTGGGATCATGACCTGAGCTGAAGGCAGACGCCTAATGACTGAGCCACCCAGGCGCCCCTGGAATGCTTTCTATGTGCCAGCACTGAGGCCATATCAACAAGTAAGACAGAATACAAAGTAAATAAAAAGCAAAATAGTGACAGAGGGAGAAATGCTATGAAAACAAAGTAAGTAGCTCTCTCTATAAAATAAATAAATAAATAATCTTAAAAAAAAAAAAAGAGGGGGCACCTGGGTGGCTCAGTCGGTTAAGTGTCGGCCTTCGGCTCAGGTCATGATCCTGGGGTCCTGGGATTGAACCCTGCATCTGGCTCCCTGCTCGGCAGGGAGCCTGCTTCTCCCTCTCCCTCTGCCTGCTGCTCTGTCTGCTTGTGCTCTCTCTGTCTCTCTGCCAAATAAATAAATAAAAAATCTTTAAACAACAACAACAACAAAGTAAGTGGTAGAGAATGATGGGGGCAGTATAGTCAGTGAAGACCATCTTATAAGGCATCAGCCATAAGGAGGTCTGGG